AAATAGCAACAGTTTGATAACCTACCAGGAAAAGAGAAATCTATTATGAATATATATTTTAACTAAAATGAAACAAGGAAACCAATTGGTAAGATCTAATTATAGAAACTAACAGTGTTAAGCTGTGTAGTCATTCTTCCTTCCTTTACCTATAAAGCTTTCATTTCCCAAACAGAGTTTTTGCAGTTCTTTTTTTTTTTCCCCTCAACTGGAAGAGAGATTCATATACCTTAACCATGTAGGCTGAGAGAATGAGAAGCATTTCCAAAAGATGTCTCAGAGTGTCATTACCAAAAGAAAGGGAAGTGATTCTGGGTAGGTCTTAGTACCAAAGATAGCCATTACAAAAGGTATAATTATTTACATTTACACACAAGCAACTGTAATTTAAAGAGCAAAAGAAGAAATTCTGCTTCACTGTAACTATATTGTAGGCATGGTGGCTTTTCCCAAGGAAAAAAAAGCAGTATCCCAACTCTGCAGGACAATAAAAAGGATTTATGTTGTAAGTACATTCAAGGAATGCATTCTCACTACTCCCAGAAGGAAGACATTTGATAACTATATTACCATCTTCAAACTAAAAGCTACAGAGATGACTTTATGTAGACAGAAGTGATTGAGTTTTATAGACATTTTGGAGTGCATATCTTTCAATGTACTAACATTTTAATGGGAACACAGTTACTACGCAAAAAACTATAAATCCTAGACATGAACTCTTGAATGCTGTATCTATTTATCTTTGCATCTGTACTGGATATAGTGCCTGGCACACTGAAGGCACTCAATCATTTCTTGTTGAGCCAATGAGTTAAAATGGATGGAAGACAAGGCAAGTCTACTTTTTACTTAGTAGTGAAAGGTACAGCCCAAGGGTACCTCAAAAGTATTTCCTACATAGGGAACTGAAGTCTATCTTGAATAAAATGTAAGTATGTCTTGAAAAGAAAGCTATAGGTCTCTACCATTACTGCATCTTGCAAGAAACTATTCCATTAGCACTAGCCTGCTTAGGGAGCAGCCATAGGTGATTCCTTACATATTGGTACTTTGCCTGTGCTGCACTGGTGAAATGACACTCAAGCACTGACAACTGATCTATCCACTAAGTACTGGTTTGCAATGTGCATTCGTCATGATTAAATTGGGCCAAATTAAGTCTGTTCTTGAGATTCTGAATGGGGACTAGGGGGAGTCAGGCAGTTTGTAAAAGAAGCACAAATACAAAGATATCCAGAGTGGAGCCTTGTAAATGATGTACATTAGAGCTGGTATAAAACACATATTTGTTTCTGAGGCCCCAATTACTAGAGATCCTGACCAAGACTTAAGTTGTTGATCAACTACTAGAACTACTGTTGTGTCTTTTAAATAGTCCAGTCTCAGCGAGATCTGACATTGTGGTCAGGTAATCATGTATAATTTGTATTTGTGTTAGAATCATATTAGTAATCATGAATAATTTTGAGCCCCACATTTTAAATAAGATAATGCCAATTGCAAGGTATTCAGAGAAAGGCAGGAAAAAAGGCTTGGTTTTAAATGTGAATGAGGTATGAAAGGAGTGCTCATACAGAGACTAGAGAAAGAGGATATAAAGATATACTTGAAGGGATGTGGAAGAGATTGAGTGTATTCTTGGTAGCTAAAGAAGAGGCCAATGCATAAGAGAAACAGAGAGGTAGATCTGTTTACATTTAACTGAAGAAAATTTCCAACCTTTTGTTGACTTATGGAAGAGTGATCTTGGATGTTAAAGTTGCAGTAATAAGATATTCTAGATGAGGTGTCTAAGACACACACACATACACACACACACACACACACACACACACACACACACACACTCACATATATATGGATAAATAGAGATTCTTCAATTTAAAGAATATGTCATTGTCCGGTTTTGTAGAAACTTTGCTTTTTTTAGGAAACTAGGCTAATTATCAGAGGTGGACTTATCATAAACTTTAGAATTCCTCATTTGTAATTGTTTGGGAAAAGAGCAGACAACTCTGTTTTTGTATTTTTGTATTGCTTAATTAAAGAAGGCCTCCCAAATTACATAAACTCGAGGTTTCATAAAACCTGAAGTAACTATTGTTAATAGTAATGATTAACAATATCATAGGACTTAAAGCTACTCAAATTTGAATGATTATTTTAATTTATGTATATAAAGCCCTTATATGTGGAATTCTAATAGAATAGCTATGTTATTTGTGATGCACTGGTGAAAATTGAACCACTGTAATAAAGAACTCTGCAGAAATGCTGGCTCATAAAGTATCAATACAAGTCTAAGTGTGGAAAAGTAAAGGAATTGAAATGCATATTTAGTGGAAAATCAGATTTAAAGAGTACATTTTTATCATAGAACCAGGCACATAGCAGGCATTCAACAAATATTTGGTTCTCTGTGGGGGACATTGCAATTCTGTGATTTTATTTAAACTTGATTTTCAGGTAGAAATGTTGCCATATAGTAAAATTTACTAAAATTTTTGCAAGAGGTAAATTGACATTCAGTTTTACTTGGTAGAAAATACATTTTACCTTTAATGGTATTAAAATAAAAAGGAAATCTGTGCATCATTACCAGCAAAAATAACTAACATAGGAAGACAAGCAATGAATGAAAGTAGTGCTCTAGGTCTTATTGCAAACAAGTAAAAAAACAAGTTTTGCATTATCTTTTTATTAGCCCACTTTTAATAATTAATAGTTTAATATTTTATAAATGGCATGACTAAAGTATGTCTCATGTGTTCTTGCCGAAGAAGTAAAGATTTATGTAAAATATTGCTCTCATAGGAAGTTAAAACATTAGGTAAGAACAGAACCAGCTATCTCACGTGAGAATACTTAATTAATTCTTATCTTTGGGAACTTCTGTAGTCATGTTTCCCTTTCATGCAGTTTTATTTAGGACTGTGGTTGTACACCATTTCTGCTCCGTCTCTACTCAGACAGAGGTCATTGCTATCACATAGAATGGCAATAATCTGTACAAGATGCAGCAGAGAACCATAAACTCTGTTGTAATTTATTCTTTTAAAAAGAGAGCATGACCTTTATGATAACATGACCTAAAACAAAGATGGTTTTACGCCCTCCTCCTTTGCCCACACTCATACCCACACCACCACACAGATCCTGTCTTAGCTCTTATCATTTCAAGGCTTTCATTTTAGTTTTTTTGGTATATGCTATTCCTCCAGAAGTTTCCACTGCTCTTTATGATTAACTGATAATAGAAATTGGAGAACACCTCCAACCATATTCATCTATTTGCAGTTGTGACATGTCTCTGTACTGCATCCCCTAAATGTTTTTTCACTTCCAATTTAAACTTGTATTCCTTATTTTCCAAGAAAACAGTACAAATTCTTACCAGGGCTGATTCAAAGGAAGCTAATCAGTGAAAAAGAGAAATTTCAAACCTTTTAAATTTCACCTAGAGCTTGAAAAGCTTGGGGATTATTTTTGAGTATGGTTTAAGAAGTGAATTTTAAATCACAAAATGTAGTTTGAAACTTCTAAATTCATGTCATATTTGAATCCTCCTTACAAGATTCAGGAGTTGTTCTGGTAAATTCTGTAAGTCTTGCTCTTCTGCATTAACATTTTTATTAATTTTAGTAGGTCATGTTTTTTAGTTGGTTACCCTTTAAAGTAGTTTTTTTTATTAAGAATTATTTTTCTTTCAATTAGGTTCATTAAACTGTAAATATAAAGAGGGATTTTTTTTTATGTCAGAATAACTCTTGCCTATGAAACGGAGGCCAATTTGAGATGTGAGATGTGAGATGTGGTGTTCATCACTAAATGATTCTGAGCTGTAAGGTCCTGCACAGCACAGTTTAAGTTAACTCTTCCTATTGGCAATTCTCAACAGGATTAAAAAATGTCCCAGTATTTGTTGATGATAATGCACCTTTCCAAATTATGAATTCACATCTACATGCTCAAAATTTAAAGGGTAATGACTTAATATTCATGATGCAGCTCATTAATTATTTTAATAAAAACATCTTTTGGTGAGAAAATATGTTTTTACTTTATCAAATTATTTACAGATTTGCTTTAACCCCACATTGTTCAATCTCAGCTTCTTTTAAACCTAAAATGTATGTGATTGGTAGAATGGTATAACTATATGCTTAGAAAATACTTATATGACATACAAAACTATCTTAATTGAAATTCTTGACATAAATAATACATTTTCTATATGTATTACATTTATATGGGCATCTCTGTTTTTTGGCAATCTCTATTGGGAAATATGAATAAATTTTTTATTTGGTTAAGTTTATTCGGCCATCTAATTTCAAATTTTCCCCTGTATTTTAAGAATATCTAAAGAAACTTTCCCAAATGATAAAGAAAAATTATGAAAACAGTAGAATTATTCTATGAATAGGTGTCCACATCTGAAATAAAACCACAGTTATGTTTCTGCTTTGAAAATTACTTTGAATTGTGAGTGAAGCATTTTACTGTGTAAAAATTTTCTCACAGCTACGTATCAAATTGAATTTCTTGTACTAGTGATTTATATTTATTATAAAACTCATTCATAAAAATCTCTCTTCTCAGATAATCAATCATTTTGTGTCAATGTTAACAGAAATATGGAAGCGTCACTGTATAATGTTGGTTTGGAGGAGTAATACTTACAAAGGCCAAATTAAAGTTAGGTGTTAGTATTTCAAGAATACATGCTTTGTTTAGAAACAGAACTTTCAACTTCATAAGACATTTGGACTTTCTTCTCGCATAGTTACAATTACACCAAATATGTCGAAATATAAGATGGTCACAGATTCTTCTGAAGTGTCCATAATCTCAGTTTAAAATTAGCACATTATAAATGGTAATAGCTCAATGTATTTCTAATCACTAAGTAATTACATAAATAATATTCTATATTCCAAGCCAGTAATCTCATGTCTAACTCTCTCTCCTCTATCTCGTTTCTCTCCCTGATTTAGATCATGGTACTGTGCAGAAGGTGGTGGTTCTTCCTACTAACAACTCTGCCAGTGCTGAGCTCATTCTGGAGGAGCTGGAAGTCTTTAAGGTTTGAGCAGCTCTTCTATTAGTCTCAGCACATGCATGATGAGTAGAATTATTTAATCTTACAGCCACTTTTGAAGGAAAAAATATTTGATAGAAGATCAAATAAATGAATGTTACAAATTTTTGAGGGTAAGAAACAACAGATAAAATAAGAAATTTAGAACAAATATTTTCTGAAGTTTTTTTTTTTAATTTCAACTTATCTTAACATGAAAGGATTAGTTTTTTTAGCTATCTTCCCAACTTGAAGAATTTTGGCCATCATTATTTTAATAAAATGAGTTCTTGTGGCCAAGGTCTAGAAGATTTGCCATGAAAAGGCTTTTATCATTTCTTTCACAGGCCACTGAAACCTAAATGCTTTCAGATTATTAATTGCTAGATAAACTTTCTCATATTTTTTTAGCCAGGAATTTCAAGAAAAACTGCTTTGTGTTCTCTTGTTTTATTGCTTTCAGTTTGAATGTCGTGCTAGTTAAGTAAAACAAATGTTATCTCTTTACCACTGAAAACTTCGTGTTCTGTCTGAACTTGAGAATTCATTGTATCATTCTTCTTGCCCTTAAATTTGGGATTTAAAAAAAACAAAAGAAAAAAGGAAAAACACAACAAAACAACAAAAAGGCACAGAGGGAGTTCAGTCCCGTCAGCTCTCACCTGCTCAGAGCAGAATGCCTGTTCTTTATGTATCAGTGACCCTGGAGAGCAGGTTTGTGGTATCCTGCACACGCTTTTCCTTAAGGTGTAGATTATTGTAGCTCAGGTGGTCCCTCTTGTCTGCATTTGGAAAGCTGGATAAACAGCCAGAGGAGCTGTTAGGATTTCAAAGAAACTTTGGTTTGGAATCAATCCTACTGCAGACTACTATTTCCAACTAAACCAATTAAGAAAAAATGGCTTCTGGACTCTAGAAGACCAGAGTCAGTCTTCAACTAAGTTAAAAGAAACACTTCAGAACCCCTAGGAGCAGGCAATTGCTAGTTGCATAAGTTGCTTTTTTTAAGATGAGTGGGCTCAGGATACATCTACTTTTTAATATACAGTCCCTCAGTCATCAAAAATACTGAATTTAAAAGCATGTAAGTGATCAAGATACAAAGCTGTGAGATAATGCTAGTAAGATGTTAATGTGAAGAAATATTTTCTTAGAAAGAATCAAGTCAAACACAAAATTTGAGGAACCCTGGCAAGTTTCCCAATGTGTTATTAAATTACAGTGTTTTATGCTAGACTCACCTTGGCATAAGGTTCTTTGTGAATAGCACATCAAAACTGTGCTCATAAATGTTAGCTATGTGCATTCACATGCCTTTCCTATGCTTTGTTTGGTAAACAAATTGATTGTTTCACTAGATTAACCACGATCACATTATGAATAAAACATTTTTTTCTTATTCAGTTCAGTAGGGATAACTTGGCTGGCCACAATAATATTAAGTTCCGTATTCTGGAGTTTTCTTGAAGATAGTGAAAATGCCATATTGCAGGACTTTATTTTAATTCTGAACTATCTTTTCTTGATAATCAGGAAACATTAAGTGCATACGGCACAAACCCGAACATACTATGTTATGGAAAGGTCTAAAGAAATAAGAGTTCTTCTGATCATGTGCTAGCTACTCTGGTCTGTTACATGAGTTAAGCTGGTGCTATCATCATGAAGAATAAACTGTCAGTGGAAAAATAGTCAGGGAAAATGTATGTGGGGGACATCAGCCCAGGAAAGAGACTTAAAATGTTTGAGCTTTCTTACAGCTGTGTGTGCCAGTGACTGATAGGGCTTAATGGAGAGACATGATTACCACATGTAGTTACTGTCTTCAACATGGTGTCTGTGTCACATTTTCTGAGGTGAGGTAAAAATAATAGGGTGTGTATGATATACTGTGATTGACATGTGAGGAAATGATACATTTAAATTGAAAAAAATCCTTTGTTAATTGTCACTCTGATACACTGAAGAAAACTCAATTTAACTTTTTAAAACCACTTTGTTTTTATAGAGTGCAGAACCATAATCTCTTATTTTAATCCTCTGTTGTACTGCTTCCTTAAACCTAACTTGCATTAGAGGAACAAGTATTAGTAGTTGCATAGATGGATATAAGTTGCAATACTTTTTTGCATCTGTGTATATTTCTAAGTGATAACTAAAACTTGTTGCAATTGAATGTTTAGAGTTACCATCATTTTCTCTTTAAATGTTTGTAGAGAACACACAACTCCAGAAAGCAAAATAATTATAGGTACAGTTGATTTTGAGAGCTTGCTCCCCCTTGAATTATTCAACTTAAACCTCACAGATCTTCATCAGGTTAGCAGAACGCTAGTGTTTAATATTTAAAGGAACTAATAATGTTCAAGAAGCAAAGTTAAGAATAGGGCATATTTTAGGTCCTCCCACTAATTCACATTTGTCAAAAGAGGATCTTGTCTAACAAAGAGAATTAATAAATGTGGTTCAGGATAATACATCTTTCCAGAGTAACATTGGCAGGTGAACAATAGTGTCATAGACAGAGCGCTTATATTGCAGAAGAATAATACAGGATACATGCCAAAGGCCCCAGGCACCTTCTCTCCAATCCTGAGTTATTGATTGCACTCAATATTCTGGGATATGCTTTTCTCAGTTCTCTCAATTTTCTCAAGTATTTATATTTTCTAATGAGTGTATTGATAGATAAAACTGCTGCTTTTATTAGTATAGGCATATATTGAATAACAAATTCACCCTTATTCCCAATAGAAAAACGTGCTTTATAGATATGTATTGTTAAACTTCAAAAGTACATGTGAATATATAGAAAAATGATGATTTCTTGAATTTTAACAAAAGAAAAATTTGGAATGCAAAATCCTTTTTAAGAATTTGAGCAACTAACAATGTTTTTCCAATTTTTCAGAATCATGCTCCTATAACAACAATGAAAATTTCATCGAAAAAGGTAAAAACTCCATTTTAATTTTCCTTGTGTCAAAATTTTCCTATTATGAAAAAAATACATTTTATAGTTTCTGAAAAAATTTATTTTAGTATTAGCAAAACAATAGTATTTACAGTTTGCCACAAAATCACTTCTGATGTAAAATTTACTAGCTACTAGTGGAAAACAAAATAGTTTTATTTCTTTAAAGTCCATCAGAGCAGAACATATATGTTATATATATATATATGTATGTTTTATGTGTGGGTATGTGTGGGTATGTGTGTGTGTGTGTGTGTGTAT